TTTTCTATCGCAAATAAAAAATTCTACTACATCTTTACTGAAGGTTAAAAGAGAAAAAGTTAAAAAATATACGGATCACCATTAATAATAAAAAGAATTAAAACTTTGTTAATAATAAGACGGAATAATTACTCACTCATCTCTTCGTTATTTCTCGCGTTTCGCGTTTCTCGCGAGATGTCTCTTTATGCAAACCATTTTGTGTTTACTATTAGGTCTGCTATTTTCTCAATTTTCAGACAATATGTTTGTTGTCTGATTGTTTAGTAAACCTTTTTTTAAATTTTGGATAACAGATAATTAGTCAATTATGGTGTAAATTTTATTTAAGAATATCTGATACATTGAAAATTGTAAAAGAAGGATACAACAAATGGCATACGTTAGCACTTACATTTTTTTCTTGTTTTATCTTTTTTTGTTTAACAATATACAGTCATTTACAATTATAATTCGAGTGATCGATTAATTTATAATTTTCATAATTTTAATATTAAACATTACAGACACGCGTTACGCGCGCATATATTTTTTTAAAACGAAAAATTAATATAATATTGTTATACTTTTAATCTTTTAATACACGCAATGCATACAACTGTCAAAATAATCTCCGCGGTGACAATCACTCACGAAGTAGGTGCAGTAAGAGAATTAGCGTGGAAAAGAGTCAACAATAAATTTCGAGACTTTCGAGGAGATTTCGAAAGATGCGAGTATCGCGCGCGCGTACTATAATATGTATATATCAGTACGTATATATCGGTACGTAGTATATATCAAGTAATACGTATCAAGAGATCAACTGAGATAATTGTTTAAATGAATGAAAAAGTTATGTAAAGATATTTATATTTTAATTGCGAGTTGTGAATTCGATAGCAGCAAATTGTGACACATAGAGAAGGGTTAGAGGTTGAAAGGAGGACGGGGGTTAGAGAAAATAAGAAATAGGAGAAAAAAGCAGATTATATAAAGAATAAAAATATTTGTAGCAGCAATTTTTAAAGTTTAATAAAATCGAATGGTTTAAAATAATGATATCGTAAGCCTTGTATTTAATAAATATCTTTGTATTTTAAAATAAATGCCATGAATAAAATTAAAACTGCAAAATTTCTATTTCTTGTTTTGTTAAGGCTGTTAAAAGCAATTAATTTATTTATTAATTTACCACGATCAGTAAAACATTATCAATTATTAATATAAATTATTAATATAGTATTAAAAAATGTCCTAAAATAACGTAAGATTTGTAAAGAATTATAACGAAATTAAATATTTACAATATCAAGTTTCTTCAACTTTGTAGATATATAAATACGGGAAAAATAATTTTGTTGAGTCATCAAAATTATATATTTAAGCAAAATGATAAAATTTTTTTATATTTTAATTCTTTCCATATGCAAAATGAA